ACTTAAGTTCACCAAATTGATGCGTGTTCGGCTTTGGTCTGGTACTAAGAAACCACAATTATAAATGCTTGGTAATTCCAATCTGGTTGACGAACTCTCCAGTAGTGTAATCCAATGCAAGGTATGGTATATTCCCACTCACAGTCTATAAATGTAGGTAATATTTGATTTAGGTTCTAGTTGGCTCAATCACAAACGAAAATAGAACGAGGGATATGTGTGTAGCAATGTATCTGTTAGCAGGAAACAATATGTCACGCTATGTAGTTACACAACGGAAAGTGTCTTCAAGGTCATTCAGTCTTCAGTAATAAGGATAGGAGGTCTGTCGACCTATATTAATCCTTGCAGTTTGTAATACTGTGAAGGTCCAATCTCGTTATGAATATATTAACAGACAGTGCTGATATTGCGTGTTGCGGTAGAGATTTCCAGTAATTCACTACTCGGTGCGAGATACGGATCTCCAAACGTAAACTGTTTGATCTCGGTTTTTGAACTTTCTTCGAGTGTCCTCTCAAATGATCGGTTCTAGACGAAAGCAAAAGATAAAACATAATAATACCAAGGTCGTCGTTCAGTATACGATAAGCCAATATTAGATCACCCCGTACTCTACGGTTAGATAACGGAAATGAGTTAAGGTGTCTCAGCCTGTCTTCATAAGATAGGCCAGACAGATCTTGTACCATCTTAGTAGCTCGTCGATGGACTCTTTCTAGCATATCTGCTTCATATTTGAAACAAGGACTCGCTGCTTGAATCCCGTATTCTAAATGTGGTCGCACATAAATCGGGTATAGTAATCCAAACATTTAATCATCTAAATACTGAAAAAACCTACGAATTGACCATAATACCCTATAGCCTTTTGCAGCAGCAGCCTTACAGTGACTAGTCGTTTTGAGATCATTGCTTAATATAACTCCAAAGTCTTCATAGTTTCTTGCTTTGTGTAGCACAAATCCACGTAGTGTATAGTCATACGATTTATCAGAGTTATTTAACTGCATCACTACACTCTTATTAGGATTTACCTCTAGTGACCACCTGTCTAACCATGCCACTAATGAGCTAAGATCGTCCTGTAATACTACTCTATCCGACATACTATGTATGGGTCTCCAAATCATTATGTCATCAGCGAAAAGTAGAACGGATGATTTTGCTACAATTGGCAATTCATTTACATAAAGTAAAAAGAGAAGAGGACCTAGGATTGTGCCTTGGGGAACCCCACTTCTTACAGGTACCCACGAGGAGAGAGCCCCATTAATCCTTACCCTTTGTCTCCTGTCATGGAGAAAGTTACTTATCCAATCGACGACTGAATAATGGATTCCAAAACGTTTCAGTTTGAATTTAAGACCAGAGTGGGAAACCTTATCAAAGGTTTTACTTAGATCTATGAAAATTACATCCACAGGAGCATTCCGATCCTTTGCCGCAGCCCAATCTTCTCGTGCAGTGAGAAGATTTGTCAAGCATGATAGGCCTTTCCGAAAACCATGTTGTGCCCTGGAGAAAAGATTTTGCCCTTCAACATAGTTTATAACAGCTATCCAAATGACTTTTTCCATCAGTCTCACAACTGAACTAGTTAAGCTAACGGGTCTATAGTTACTAACTAAATCCCTACTCCCAGCCTTATACACCGGACTTATTATGGCGTCTTTCCAGTTTCTAGGAAGTCTGGACTGTCTCATAGACATGTCGAATAGTATCGCTAATGGTTCAGCGATTTCATCTGATATGGCTTTCATAATCCTAGGATGAATATCATCAGGACCACTGGACTTATCAGGTTTGAGATGCTCAAGTAGCCTTAAAACAGTACCTTTCTCAATGACTACAGGATCCATCAGCGAGCCGTCACGGTCGCGATGAATCATTGGTCGTTCCTCACTACCGATAGAAAACACTTTACTAAAATATTCCGATAAAGCTCCAGCTTTTTCGGCATCATTCTCTGCTAAGATTAACGGATTATCACGTATCAAAAGTGATGGAATTCCATCGCTTCTCTGAGTTCGCCTTTTTATATACGAGAATAACCGTTTCGGACTATATCTAGAATCCCTAACCAATTTTTTTCGTATGAATGTCTAGTCTTGCTTATTAACGCTTTACAGGCATTCCTAATCTTACAATAACTGGATCTGTATTGTTCTAAGCCAGTAGAGATGAACATATTCCAGTGATTCTTCCTTTTTCTAAGGAGTTTCCTGACCGTTTTAGTTATCCATGGTGGACTATTATTCGGTCTTCACTGAAACAACAGGTACAGTTATTTAATGATAAATATACATACAGTGAAAGGTTGACAAGATAAATACAAATAATGTTAAAAACTATTTACAAAATAAACTTGTCAGTCATATCTCCACACGCTCACATAGTTCTGTCTGACTTGAATTGTGTTATTTCAGGGATTCGTAGTTCGTATAATGATTCACTCATATCTCCTTTCTTGCCATGGAACTCAGCAATAAGACAGGAGGTGGCCAAGTCATAAAAAATTGTATAAGATAGTTTGTGGAGATAAATAACGCATCATATGGAAAACAAAATCATCGATAGATGGTCGGTTCTTACTAACAGCAAGCACGTACTATATAGGTATATGTGCCTTGTGACTAACCGGACGAGTGGTAGATATTTTGACCGATATATTACAGAGGGGCACTAGCATGTCATTAATAACTGCTAAAAAGCAACGATAGCTGAGTACAATTTTAGTTCATTAGTCATGATGTCGGCAACGTAAGCTGCCGCAAGTTCACGTTATGAAAAGACAACATAGAGATCAAAATATGACGTTACATATGGTATTAATGTGTTTTATGTGTTATCCTGGCATTTTTTATGTGTGTAAATCGTCAGAAGTGTGCAGCGGGTTGTACATATTTGCAGTTGTGTTAAGTGCAAATGAGTAACTCCATTATGGACACTGAACCCAGTTCCTGACACATATCCTTCCAGAAAAGAGTGTTTGTGCGTAGTTATCAATTGTACCTGCTAGAGAAAGCCTTGTCCAGATATATTCTATTTATCTTCTGCCTATTTTTTGTATTTAGTAGCACATATTTACCATGGATGTACCGTCTTTCTATACTGCTAAACAAAAACTATTGCTTATTGTTTTATTTTGTCTTATTTCACCTGAAGCTCGTCAGTTAACTGTTGTAGTGGTAAATAAATTTTCAACATAAATAGCCTTGTAAGTCTTCGACATCGGATGCCGACCACCTTAGTTTTAACGGACTTACCTAGCTGAAGGCGCTCGGTCACGCATCCGCACCAGATCACGAGTGGAAACACCGTGCTCAACATCTCCTGCAATCGCCAGCCAGATTGGATCAGACGATCCTCTATATGTTGATAGCCTATCAAATATATCTTCGAACCTCCTCGCTTCTGTCTTTTGTTTTCACTTTATGTACACGAGTCATAGTACGAGTTACTGGTTAAAGTGTTGTCAAACTATGAATATCTGTGGCATCTTCACTGTTGTGCTGTCCGAATTTTTCGAAATTTGGAATTCCACGCTAGATGTATTCGTCACATAATTGCCGGTACACTCCTGTACAATACCAAATACCAATACCACTTCAGTTTGACCGTTTATTGCCTAGTTCTTGTATTTGAAACTGGCATTTCGAGAGAAAATCCAAAAAAGAACTATATAATTATGACTAGACTAATTATGTTTTGTGATGTCTCACACTAAATTGTATACAAGTAGGAGCTTTAATCAAAACCCATTACAAAAGCTACTTTTGGAGTGGCTTGCTAGGTTTTCGATTGTTGCAATAAGAGATGAAACATTATTTTGAAACGTTTATGAAAATCGAAAGGTGTTCACTTGAGCTTCAAAGAGACTTTATAACAATAATTGAATCGGCAATAGACGATTGATTTAAATGCAGCTTATCGAAATATTATGTCATGAACACTCATTGCCATAGGAAATAAACAACTTAAATCCTCCTTGAAAATCAGCTCCCACGTGTCTCACCAGAGCTCAATCTGGGGTTGGCAACCACAAAAAGCTTGGAAACTAACTCCAAATATATTGGCGATGCAGTCCAGGCAACTGCAAATCTTCAACTTGTGTAATGAGGACTTAACACATTCACAACAGAATTATTCATAACGCCATTTAAAGCATGCTCACGGCCGAACTTTGGAGTCCATATCACCCTTGCTCCCTTCTCCAAAAGACACGAGGATCTATTAGACCAAATAAAAAGACTAGCAATTATGTGGGCGAAAGTAATAAAGAATAAATTCGCGAAGATAGACTCCAACACAAGATTGTTCTCTCCGTGATTGCATCACCCATCAAGAATACCGGAACTTCAGCACGACGCTCTGCGAAGCAATCGCCTTAAAATTTCGCACAAAAAAGCAGAATACTTGGCAGGTTTCGCTTTTTCTCATTAACAATGACTCACATTAGGAATGTTGTCTCAGTTGATTTGACCATGGTCCCATCAGTTGATAGGTTCAAGAGAAGAACCAGTAAACACGTAATCACTCACTTGGTTGGCTACGCTTGACGTATGTCTTGTAACTTACCTACCGTCATTATTCTCACATATTGGTAAGTACTTTTTCGATTATTATCACCGTTTCCTCCTTAGTACTTAAATTTCCGCCTTCTGACACTGTCTGCATTACTACCTAATCACCACAGTTTTTTAGTTCTTCAAACGATCGTCTTCTCTCAATATTCAAATTTTCTGTGTATCATTCTCCCAGTCCAATCAATCAACCACCTGTCCAGTGATCCTACTGCTCTGATACCAACCCACTCAAGTTATAAATTAACACAAACCCACAAATAACCGCAAAACAGAAGATTGACTGAACTATCGACCACTGGACATTGCTGAAGATCTGTGACGCTACTGAAAAGCAATGAGTAAGCGTAAAGATATTAATCAGTTCATGCAAGGTTGTTACAAAGTAGTCAGTTATATTTTATATTGTGAGCGGCTTTTCAAACGATTGCGCTTCCGTTAAAACTGTGGCATCTACATGTATATGCTCAGGATTATTTGCCTGTTTATAATTCAGCCCAACAAACATGTGAAATCCAAAGTACATGTTATCCTACTTTGACTTTGTAAAATAGAGTGAAGTTTAAGAAAAACAGTGAGACCTGACTTTGGGGGAATTTCCTCGCATCTAGGGAAATTTTGGGGGTTTTGTGCCATTCCCCCAAAATTTTCTGTAGCGATTTCCCCTAAATAGAGAGATTGGGTTATAGACAACCTTTAAAGGTTTTAGCTCAATGGAGCGACAATAAAGCGACTTTAAAATAGCTCACCTACCTAATAGGGCCTAAAATGACTATAGGTCAGTGCAAGGAATTAGGATTGGAAGTCAGGGTTTCCATCACGAACTGGCAACAGTGAAAATGTCAAAATCCTATTCAACCAAAGTCCAAGAACTGCCGTCTTTAACCTCATTGGTCTTCCCGTGAATTGTTGTCTATCCTGAAGAACGTCTGAATTCTGTAGCTCTCAAAAAGTCACTACGACATACGGCCGATAGTTAGCTACGGTACTTGTGTAAAACAGTTAAATGTCGTCTTCGACTCAATAAGTTAATCAGTTCAATGAAATTAGGTTCCACTGCTGGTTTTATCCATTAGTCTAACTACTTCGTCCTGAGTGCCCGTAGTCGACATCCAGACAAAATCTAATTGTAATTGACTTCACCTCATCTTTTTAAAGGCTGTAGTGACGAAAAGTAATATATCAAACATTCTCCTGACCTAGTGACACCTCAATTTAAGTACCCTGCTTATTATCATGGACAATCTCACAAAACTCCGAATGACGCTTTTTTTAAGACAGTTTCACTTGGCTGATTAACGTAAGGTTTGGTGATCTGTCTTCCTTTTTGTACCGTATTATTCCTGGCCTAGACCTCTTTTCAAGGATACTGATGGAGAGGTTTTTTTCGTAACCACTTTTAGCTTGCTCATCTCACTACAGGTATTCGTGTATTATTCATGTTTTTATATTGTTCAGACAGGAGAATGCTTTTTTTGGTAGTCACTTACGCAATCATATTAAGAAGTGACTGAAGTAAAGTTAATGTATGTGTGAGCAGAATTTACCGAATCCACTATTTGTTGACAAATATGATAGTTTAATAGCTTCTCAATTATACCTATCTTCAATTGAAAATCACTGTACTGAGCTTTCTCCTATCGCTTTAAAAGGTGTGTTAATTTAGAGAATCAGTAGTAAAATAAAAACCACACAACAATAATCCTTTTCGGGTTTATAAAACAACAAAATAAGCGAGAAATAAGTTGAAATATTTCATGAATTCGGACTAAGCTAAATGAACCTAAACACCATATTCACACTCATCATGGCTCATCCTATATAACATGTGTATTGCGGTAAAACTAGTGTTTCTAGTTTTTCAGTGTTTTTCCACTTTAAGAACCTTGTCGTCAGTCGTTTCACTAAGTTCTATTTCTTACTAGTACTGCTGCTTTTAAACGTCTGAGAACATTTATTTATCCCAATTAGTCCTTGGCCAACCGTCAATGACCAACAAAATATTTCGGTAAAGTCATGAGTTCCATTCGGGTCATTCCTTTGGGTAAATTTGTTTTGAGATCATTTACATGACTCATTTCGCTTAATAGGCGCTGGGCAAGATGTTGGTAGAAGTTGCATTCTTGTCACTTTGGGTGGCAAAAATATTATGTTCGATTGCGGAATGCACATGGGCTATAACGACGATGTAAGTGTTCATCGTAATCATGTCATTGATTCCTTTAAGAGAAAATTTCCTGACTTCACTTACATTACCGACAAAGGGAGTCTCAATGATTACCTGGATTGTGTGATTATTAGGTATGTTTAGTTAGTTTGCATTTTCGTGTTTTTATCGACAGTCATTTCCATCTCGATCACTGTGGAGCTCTTCCCTATATGACCGAAGTAATAGGCTACGATGGTCCAATCTATATGACTCATCCTACCAAGGCAATTTGCCCAATACTTTTGGTAAGTACTTTCCATATTGTATCCTTATATTTGCAGGAAGATTATCGTAAAATCAATGTTGAGAGAAGAGGAGATCAAAACTTTTTCACTTCTGATATGATATATCGGTGTATGACGAAAGTTAGGTGTGTGTATATACATCAAACAGTCAAAGTAACTGCATTAATTTTTAATTTTGAGTCTCTTAAAAGGTAGATGATGATCTCGAAATACAGGCATTTTATGCTGGTCACGTTCTGGGAGCAGCAATGTTTCTTGTACGTGTAGGAACAAATTCTGTCCTGTATACCGTAGGTTGCTTTCTAAAGATATCACTGGGACTTTAGGGCGATTACAACATGACACCTGATAGACATCTTGGTGCAGCTTGGGTTTCTCGTTGCCGTCCAGATCTTCTCATTACGGAAAGCACTTATGCAACCACGATACGAGATTCAAAACGTACAAGAGAACGGGAATTTCTGGAAAAGATTCATGCTCGCGTTGAGGCTGGGGGTAAAGTAATTGTTTCATTATTTGCGACATCGATAGGTATTAATCCCTGTCTTTGCCTTAGGTCGAGCTCAAGAACTTTGTATATTGCTTGAAACATATTGGGAAAGAATGAATATTTCCGTCCCAATATACTTCTCCATGGGAATGGCGGAAAAAGTATTTTCAAAAACATTAAGCCACCTAATTACCATTTATTTAGGCTAATGAGTATTACAAGTTATTTATCTCGTGGACAAATCAAAAAATCAAGGAGACATTTGTAAAACGAAATATGTTTGACTTTAAACATATAAAGGTAGGTACAATTTACGTAGCTTCCCACTTAAGCACGTTTTAAAAGAATTTATGGGTTTAATTGCATCAAATCCACTAGAAATCTCTTTCAGACGAATCCAACCAACCAGTTTCCCTGTTACTTTCACAAAACGTCAATAGATCACTAGTCATCATACGTGACTCACTGCTCTGTTTTTATTTTATGAGTTCATAAAAACCACCGCTTAACTATTATGGCGCAACCCATTCAGTACTGTGTCAGGTTAATGTATGAGCAAGAAAGATACGTTAGTTGTGCATGTATTATTACCCCCAAATGCCCTAGTACGGTCGAAAGTGGGTAGGGTCCGCCCTCACATGGCCACGCGTATACAGCCTCTGACAGGGAAGTCCTACTCACTGCCTTCTCGCACCACAGGTCTTGTTTACGAAATTGAGGGGACAGCAAGTGAGTGTCCGGCGCTTTAACCGGGCCGATGGACACGAAGAGTCCATCTAGGGGAGTTGGAAAACCCCCATTCCAAACCAATGGTGCACATGGGCTCCAGTATATTGAAGCAACAAATAGCGTATGAACCAATTGTTGGTCACCGGCTACCATGGGATCGCATCTCCTCACGATGTTCCACTGCCTTGTGGATCAGACCTTTAGGTCAAAGGCTCGGGGTGTGGCCCTCTAAGAAAACCACCTGCTTCAGTTTGGGCACCCGGGCAGTAACCTAACCCTCGCACAAATCGAATGATTTATGTAGCGCATATCTATTTGGTGCCTCCTTGTACCAATGTTTATGTGTTTAAATAAATAAAACCACCAAGGTGATTAAAACATTTGTTCATCCACTCTTGATGTTGTTTTGAGATTCGCTGTGATAATTCCATCTTGGTGTGGTAACCTAAATCTACTTACATACGTACCAGTTTCTATGTTGCGTATGACAGATTTACCGACTTATCTACTCTACCTTAACTATATACTGTTTGCTAAAATAGAAAGTCTCGAAGTGTCATTGATAACCACATCAAGTACCAGCCGATGAAGGTAATAGCTGTTGGTGTCTGTCGAGCATTGAGTTATAATCTTTATGGTTAAAGCTCTAGATGGATTAATACTTAATTGTAATACACTTTTGTGGACATAACAATGACATGGACTCGTTTACTTTGTATATTCCCTCAAAGGTTGAATATTGTTTTACTTTTTGTTCACTCGTTGGCATGTGATTCTCATCAAGTGGTATTAAAGTGAGCTCAATAAAATCGATTCTTTTTTGTCAGCTTTTACAGCAATTAGTCTGTTTCAAGCGAAAGTTTTAAGACAGTAAGGTAAGGTATAGCACAGCCACTACATTTCTCAAAGCCAAATGTGATATCTCACTTTACTGGGTTACTTGACCTTTGAAATTATATCAACAAATGCCAATCTGTTAGTAATTCGAATAGCTAGTGTGGTATACTGTCGCTGTGTATGTTGGTGTTTTAAGACAATTTCACTTCGTAATAGTTGTCGGTTCAGCACTCCCACAGTATAGAGACTACTATTAGAATAATCACTGATATCTCTGATAGCACTTGCTTCTTTCCGTATTATTTGGTAGTGACCAACCGTGCAATCCTAAATCTCTGTCTCATCCTACTCAAGACTCATTTTTGGGATGTACCTGTACTTAAATTCCCTACCGATCCTACTTTAAATATCAGTATTTTCCATTGAATAATAACTGCCTCTTGTTCAACAAGTAGCAATTTTGATTAGAGCTTAACATTTCTTATTGTTGATTGACAGAACCTAAATAGCTGGGGATTTTTGACACATCAGACTATGACTGTCGGGGAGAACTCTATTAATAAATTATTTAATTCAGATTTCCTTTGAAGATGAATTTCCATCAGACACCAACATGTCACGGTTAGTATAATAAGACTTTTTATATGAATCAGTTAATTTCAGTTGGCTTGATCCCCCTGGTTCATTTCAGTAGATAATCCACTTTTCCCTCCCTATCTCACTTTGCTATTGAGCTCTCTCGTTTCTTAGTTTAGTAAATTGGTATAAGTAACATTAGTCCAACTGACCGCTAGACTGTTTTCTACTAATTTTTTAAATTAACATTTTCATCCTAATTATAATTTCTTTCCAAACATAAGTATCATTGAAGCAATTTCAAGGTCTGGTTCATTGTGATATTTTCATATCTTGAAATAGCCTCTTGGGCAAGGAACAGTCGATAATCCAGGACCAATGGTAGTCTTTGCCACACCAGGTATGCTTCACGCTGGACAATCCTTGCATATATTTCGTAAATGGGCTTCAGATGAAAGAAATATGGTTGTAATTCCAGGATATTGTGTTGCTGGAACTGTGGGTTATAAGGTTTGTGTGTATATGTTTTGATAGTACCTTTGTTTAAGATTACCATAAAATGATTCCTATTCTTAACAAATTTAGGATAAGATTATGAAAATAAAATAAATTCCTTTTTGCCTAAAGACTTTCCATCATTAGTAGACAGTTTAATATCACAATAAATGATAGAATTTAAAATGAACTAATGACTTATTTGAACTGTTACTGTTTTGCATTCAAGTTTAACAGTGCAAGATCAAGCAGTGTTTCAAGAGAAAAACTAGAATTGTAATCTGTAGTGGAAATTATTTTATATTTTTGTTGGATAATAGCGCAAAAAAAGTGAATAATCTTAGCTCGAAAAAATCATGTTTATGGTATTTTATTCATCATTTTTTGATCCTTCACAGAAAATTATTGTTATAATGCGTTACCTGTCTTATTTTATTGTTTTCAGATTTTAAATGGAGTCAGGCGTCTTGAATTCGATAAACAAGTTTTAGAAGTTAAAATGTCAGTTGAATACCTATCGTTCTCAGCTCATGCAGATGCTCGTGGTATTATGCAGTTGATATCTCATTGTCAGCCTAAACATGTGATGCTGGTACATGGAGAAGCAATTAAGATGGATTTTTTAAAATCAAAAATTGAACAAGAGTTTGGATTACCCTGTTCGAAACCTGCTAATGGAGAGATTGTACATGTAGAAACGGAACAACAATTTATTGTAGAAGCTTCAAGAGAATTTCTTAATCAGTCGTATTGTATGTATTTTTGCAGTAAAATTTTACATCATTTAAGATAACCACTAAAACATGAGAAGTTTACTAACTAGTTATCTCTCTTTGCCTATCTGCCAAGTAGTAACTAAGTGCATATTTATGTAAGTGAAATAATGTATTCTATATACAATAGTTCATCTTTTACCTAATATCTCTAGATCTAGTTTACTTAATTTCTAATGTTATACAGCTAAATGTTTTGTAGATTTTAATAGAGATGATTAATTTACGAAAATTATCCGTGTGCATACATATTTTAGAAAGAGTTGGTTCGCTTAACAGACTTCACCTAAACAGTTGAACTGCCTCTTCTCTAAAAATATAACTAAAATTTTATGACTTATAAAGTGTCAAGCTTTAAATAAAACAATCTACAGCGAATTGCCGTAGTAATTCTCACTTCTTTTATTGTTTCCATTAGATCCATATAAGATTGATATTACAATCAGCTTTTAGGTTCGTTCACCCTAAAACAATAAATCCCAGCTGTATTCGTATTTCTAGTATCCGTTATCATCACGCAAACTGTTGCATTAAAATATTATTTTCCATGATTGAGAATAATATTAGGATCCTTAATTTTTTAGATTCGGATGATCCAAATGAGCCACTGATTAAACGTCCTCGATCTATTCAGGGCGGAATTCAAATTGAGCCTGATGTAAGTTCAATGTTTTCTAAAACTACCAACATATAAAGTCTAGGGAAGTTTAATACTTCCCTAGGGTAGTACTTATCTTTTTAAATTCATTATTTTTCAACTACTAATAAGTAGGCAAATAAGATTGACGAAAATTACACTAATTCTCATTTGTACAGGCAACTAGGTCTTTTCGTTAAGACTTAACAGCCTTCGTAGTAATTTTTGTCGTCCTCAAGTAAATTCAAGGTATGCTCTGTATTTAATTATGGCTACGCGTGATTAAACAAACCATATTCCACCTGATGATATCATTTTATTGAATTATTGTTATGACTTGTCAGTTGTTAGGTTGGATTAATTTATTACTTATACGGTGCGAAGTAACAACATCAAGACTGGTACGAGTAAATATTTATTTAACTCAAAAAACGACGACCCTAATCGAAAACAAACTCGTTTATGTATTGATTGTAAACTCATTTGATTATTAATTAGGATGAAATCACATATATGAAAAGTACCCAGATTTATAACAAATCACATGCTGTGTGTCATGTTGAGAATTGTTCATGTTAATTCATTACAAGAATATTGTATCTTGAAAAAACATCACAATCAAACAAATCAATGTTATAACGAATAAAATATCACACTGGAACACTAAACAACTAGTACTTTGAATCACAATAATATTGAATTAAAAAAGATGGAAGTAATGTTGGACAAAAATCACAATGAGTAAAAAAAAAATGCAATTTCGCTTTTTTAACTCGTCATATCGCCTCCCCTTGTTTTTTTAATCGAATACGTTTCCCGTACAAAGTCTATTCGATAGGTAGTAGTTCTATTTCGTACTCGCTGGGATCTCAGCCGGTTACTTGGTCGTGTTTCAGCTTCCAGTTGGTTTTTTCAACTTCATTTTAAAAGTTCTATTTAACCCTCCAACTTCTACGCTCTTCTCCTTCGTTCAATGCATATATGATTCAACCTCCCTCATGAAATAATATTGGGTCTTAATGTACCCACGTTACAAATAATGTTACGTTATTGATCTGAACTGTATCAATACTACTCATACCTTCATTATATGGGAGTATCGGGGCATGTGGGTATAAGTAAAGATTGAAGGATCCTTTTGTATGATCTTGACTTGTATGGTTAATATTATACATCTTTATTGTTCCACCCGTCATACAAAAACAAGATGTAGTCATTCCATTCACAAGATGAATAACCACGTTTCACATTTTGACTTGTCAGTAACAATCTATGTAATTCATGTAGGCTCAGTTTGTCTCCAAAGCTGCGTTCTACATACAGGTATATCGCAATTGGACTAACTTTGAGTTATTGAAACAAGGTTCACGTTTTTGTATGTGGCATTCACTCTGTCCGAATAAACAAGATATATATTATCAAATTCGTTGGTTATCTTTAGATAACTATAACGAATATTGAAATTCGATGACTGCTCATTATACAATTTTCCAAAAACACAGTGCTTTGTGCGAATTGGTCGTATTTAAGTTTTTTGGAGAGATGAAGTTGGCTCACTTTATCTTCATTTGACCTCATCTTCATAAGGTATTCATGAACTTTTGAGCCAGTGTCTGGTTCAGCCGCTTCCGTCTTGAATAGATCTTCATTTCTTTCTCCATAAAAACCACCAGATCGCGAATGACATTCAGCTGCAGCCACATATTGTTTTAGAAATTTAACGGGTGGATTTGTTCTTTATTGCTATTTTATTTCATCTTTTCTTTCAGGAAACCCCTAAACTACTTGATCGTGCCTCAGTTTTGGCTTCTTTAAGTTTGAAAGAGCATGTAATGCGATTTACCTCGACGTATGCATTTTCTTCCTCTTCGAATCTCACCACGATTTTAGATAAATTTATCAAACTATGTTCAAAGTAAGCAATTTCCTTTGTCGTCTTTTAGGAATGTCGTATCATGCTTACTTCTATATAAGACTGAAAATCAATAGTATTTGCAGTTTTGCAGTATACTACTGCATTGGGTATAAGTAGTAATCAGTTAAGAACACCGTTTTCCTGTGTATATATTCAACACATAATTAAGTTGCATTACGTTAACAAAAGTGATTTAGATGTAGTTTTCGCCACTGGTTGTTACCGGTTAGGGAATCAGTGGAGAGTGTGAAGCATCGGAATCTTGTTTCTTTCTAGTTTGGGACTCAATGGTGCTTCCTCACCACATGACATGGGATCAAATTTCAGGGCTTTCAATTCTTACATCAAGCAACGACCATGTCTTAGTTTTTCACTTCACTCCTCATTTAGGTTATAGTGTTAATTAGACTACATCATTTAATATTTATGATTTGTATTTTTACTGTATAGTTTCTCTCTTTTTTACTTCATAATATTATTTCATCGTTTGCGGTACATTACATAATGCCCTACTGTACCAAACAATTGAAACAAGATAAGATCAGTTACGTTGTGGGTAACAAATAATTAAGCTTGCAATCAAAATGATCTAATCAACTCAAGCGTTTTCAAAAGCTCATTCAACTTAATGATTATTCCATATTCATTTGTAACTAGCTTCAGTATGGTTATCTTCGAAATTCTACTGGTATTCCATAAATGTTGAAGTTAACTTAGTCTAGAGTGAAACAATTATTCACGAATGACATTGAATGAAAATTGAACTGCATCACAATTTGATTAAAGTTGAAAATGTAAACCAATGAATTTCAAGTCAATAGTGTAATAGTTTCGTACTCTCTTTGAACGCTGAAGGTCCTGAATCTGTTAATTTACTTTGTTTACATAGTCCTCGACTAGAAGGAGATAGTTATTTGATTGGTCTTGGACTTGTCAACAACTTCCTCGCTCTTGTGAGTTTATTATGAAAATTATCAATGGTAAAAATAAAGGCCACAAAATACAATCTATTAGATTAGACCTATACTCCCTGTATCGTCTACGAAAGTGATTGTATAAAAAGAAGTTTAAAGTGTTTCAAACAGAACGGTGTATTAACCATGTGTAATGAGATTGTTTTATAATTTCGATTTCTGTTAGGGAAGATCAATATTGCATCATTTGAACGTCGCGCTTTCAGTCTATGAATTCATTAGTTGTTGGACTGAAGCGTATAGGTAGGTGCATCCTACGTGTTTGGGGTCCGAGTGACTATAATAATGAATAATTAAAGACTATGAGCGACGTGGCTCAGAATTGGTCGCCATGGCACAGATTCATTCACTATTTGTCTTCCCTTAGATCTTAAGTTTCTCACCTCACGAATCTATATTTTCTGGAATCATACATTCTATGACTAGTGTTTTCTACTACCAGTAATACTGTTGCTGATTACACTACTCTAGCGTCTCATTGCGCTATGTGGTGTGACAACTTTAACTGATGGACATTTATGTCGGATTACACGTTTTGTATGACTAACTCTTACAACTTGGTCAGAAATCAAGATTTTTTTAGAAATATAGATTTATTCATTGGATACAATAAATTTAATGTCATATGTTTTGTACTGAAGGTGGTCGTTCTACTTCTCTGTTTTATTAACTTATATACATATCGAATGAAGAAGGACCAATAATCGTAACAGAATAATATCAATTGACTTATTTCGTGAATCCTATTCGAGTGCTTACAACCTAGAAACAATAATATAAAGTATTTAGAAAACAAAAGGACGTACACATTTTATGTGTTAAAAGTCATTGATTGGAATTGGGTTTTACAATTTAGACGTAGATTTATAAAAGATAGTAATTGTAGGAGAATTGTACATATTGGATAGGTGATCAGACTTATGAGTTCAGTTATTTGACTGACTAAGGACTAAACTGTCAACTAAGATTATTTTCTCACAACACAAAATAGCAGTTGACATTGTAGTTATCTCTGTAATGTAAAAACACACACGTCAGCGCATTACGTACTTAGTATTCCTATCAAATGTGAACTATTCTTCATGATCGAATACACAGTCGATATGATCATCCTCAGAGGGGCGAAAACAGTTTTTGCAAGCATAAAGCAGAACTGTTCATACTGACCAATGAAATAGATTTGGAAATCAACCTAATTAGAAAGTATTGAATAAACTGAGATTTTTAAGCTGCTAATAAATTGTTTGCCTTTTAAAACAATTATTGTTTGAAATATTCATAAATTGTTATGTTTTATTATTAATCTATGATTTGAACTAACTACTGAATTTGATACAGTAGAAGCTACGTATTATTCAGTCAACTGTTTACAAGTGAAATTCTAAACTTGTGAACAACCTATGGTTTCTCATCCAATTATCTCTTTTTGATTTTGAAAAATATGTAATCGGTCACTATTGTAGTACACACTTATTACGTAACTAATATCTTATCGGTTCCCACAAACTCTACAAGCCGATTACTATATACCTATTTCATCATGACATTTACATAGTCACCAACTGATATTAGCATCATTATTTTCATTACTATTTCATGTAACTATGCGAAGACTTCATCAACATTCCCGTTAAGTTACCAATTCATTTTCGAAGAAATATGTGTATGAACGTGAATAGCCTCAGAGGATTGTTATATTAGGATTTTCATGATAATTTAAGTGAGCTATTTATAAAGCGTACGAAAGAGATTAAAATGTCAGTTTGGAAATTTACAATTGTAGTAATTTTGACATTCATACCAATAAAAACAATACTCAAACTTATCCTATATAACCTGGATTAAAGGACTGGTTTCTGTAATATAAAAGTCATGATTTATACTAAAAAAACTTGATTAGTTTGAGCAAGCTTCGGTTTAATGATCTCAGATTTCAACTACTTGACAAACTACCAACTGAACTACTCTAAGCCTATTTTATATCATGAGTAAATGGTAATCATCATGAAAATATGATAAATTGGACAGATAATTTTTGTTTTTATAAACCCTGATAACGATTTCTTCTATTTATACCAAGTATATTGATGGCCTACTCATAATTTATGAAAAAATTACCCCTGAAGTTTTACGTGTTTTTGTTGTTTTATTGATGGGAAAATCACAAACATCTTCGTAAGTAAATCCCATTTGTTAAAAAAGGAGCGTTTAAACATTTCTAAATGAACTTCAAAATTATAATCATTATTGTATATGATAAATATTTCATTCATTAAGTGAAAAGGATAGTTAAGTATATATTAGAGCAACGCCTGAATATTTAAAATCTACAACTGGCTACCAGTAAATCTCAGGCTCGAATCCCTCTCCATCTACTTTGATTTAAACATCAGGGTAATATCAGTAGTTCTTACATAAAATATTATAATAAATAACCAGGTACATAAACTTGTACTTGATAACTAAGTTACATTACTGAATAGTCTGTTCACCAACACTTCCTCAGATGACCCTATTGACAAAAATAGTAATAATTTTCTGTACTGGATTAATTTAAATACAATCTTCATTGGTACTATTATTATTATCATCGTCATCGCTATGATTACCGGTTTCTAAGTTCACATTTTAATCTTAATTGCATGGTTAATGATAAAGAATACATCTATTATGTTATCTAAAGGTTAAACGACTGTAGTATACTGTTAGTATTCCATCCCACATACATACACTTTGGCATAGACTTTTCAAAACATGTAATGACTACATAAACACGATATCTCATGTCGGCATTATTATTATTATTATAGCCACTGTTTCCTTGCAATTCATATACTTGAACCGTAGTTGTTTTGTTAATCATAACAATTTTAAATATGCCAGATAAATAATTTTGATTGTAATTGCTTAATTAAGTCTAATGAAAAATTACTGCATATAAGTATATGGTTAAACCTTGTTTTCTAATTATTATAGTTGAAACATTTCAATCGTATCAAGAACAAAGCCCTATATTCTTTTTAAAGTAATATCAAATGTACATATTTTTAGATACACATATTTCTATACAAATATATCCTGTAGTAGTAAATAAATGATATATTGTAACTCATTTATTAGGTCTAGGTGTATACAATAGTCTCTAATCTATATTTTTGTTTTGTGTAGAACAGTGACACTGAGAAATTAAAGAGTTCAATTTTCACCAACTAGGTCGAAGGTTCGAACTCGGCTTCATCTACTCTCCTCTGGTTTTGGTATCCAGTTAATATCAGTATCCTTCACGCTTTAAACGTGACTCGAAACCGAGTACACGAATATGTACACCTGGCAAATGAGTTAATCATAAATAATATTAGTACAACTCGACTACCCAAACTACAGTAGGTGGAGCTGGGTTAAAACTTGCAATCTAATAGTTTCAAAAACAAATTCCTGTGGTTAATCCCAACATTCTCTCATTTATATGCTACTTGTAGGTGTAGGAAAAAGTTAATGCAGCAGGAAATATACGAATTTTCAGTTCTTCCTATTTTATTAAGTCGTTTCCAAAATTTAATCTTCAATTATGCCAAAAATAAGAGGGCTGAATGCAGATTACTTGATCGTAATCTTCATTGTGTGAGACTTAAGATTTACGAGTGCACACTATGAATACAGTTGGCTAGATAAAATGATTAATGTGTTACATATGATATCTGTACGTCCAACTTAGTACATGATGTTATTCAACAGAAGAATCGAATTAATCAGTCATTTGATAGTGAAGTAAAGTGTCATCGATCCATTTAGTAAAACATGTCTCTACAGAGTTGGTAATTATTTTATCCCTACCCGTGTCCGAGTTTACATTTGTAAGAAGTAGACTTCATTCATTGCATTGTGAAAAGAGAACCTAATGAGTTAATAAATCAAATTGTCAACGACTGAGTTCAGACCCGAATCTTAAATACAACTACAGTCTTCGCACAAAAAATGTTTCATAGATGAATACTTTGAGGTGTATTTAGTTACCACGATGCCACTTTGCACAGCAACGATCAATAGTTTACTTTGTTTTTTCCCGTTTTTTATCCCGCACATCTTCTTACTTGAGACAACGGATGCAGTTGCACCAATACGGATCGGTGTTATGACTCACTAATCCTAGTGTGCTTTTCGCCTATGTACCAATGTCCTCAGGTTTGATGCACTTCGGTCAACAATAGTTGGTCCGGAGTAGTGATCGACATAAGTGTTAACGCCTACTGGTCCAGAACGTACACCTTCCTCCAGTCCAGTAGTCATTCCAAAGTAAGAACACGGATAGCTGACAATCATCTATTCTTAAATTTCAAACATTCGTTTATTTATATACTTGGGTTACCAGGTCTTTCACACCCACAATCCAGCCAAAAGAGAACGAAACAGGTGAATAGCTAGCAAACAATAGTTCGGAAGTAGTGAAGCTTATGTGAACATTTTATACAATAAACGGAAGCTCATAAATAAGACTGTATAGAAAACTGCCATAAACTGATTACTTAATGATCCAAATAGCTAAAATGGTAATATTTCAAAAGGTTCCAACATATCTAAAAATCCGCTCCACTACAACCATAAATCAAAAACATGGTCAAACGAGAAATGAGATCGATGCTCTATTGATGTTAGTGTGAAAACCATAGATTTTAGGTGTGTAATGCCAGTTATGTTTGAGTGCTATCAACAAAATGATACTTCACTTTTATTAAACAAACGAATATTTTCCTAAACATCCGTGTAGTTGTATAACCAAAAACATGGTGTATGTTCCTTAGGTAAGAATCAAAGTCGACTGTTGACGATTTCGCATTGAAAAATTTGCTTAAAAATTATTTCTCATAGCTACGCCAACCAACATTGCTTATCAAGATGGGGGATGATTCTGAGTACGTAATACACATCTCGCTGTCACCTCAGTCTTCCAAATGTCGTAACTTCATTATTTATTTTTTATTTACTTGAACACATAAATATTGGTACAAAGGGGCACCAGATATATATGCGCCACACAAAAGTGACGCGGTAAGTGCTAATAATAATAATGTGAATTGTTTGACTTTCAATCGAAGCGTGAATAGTATTTTCAGTGAATATCGTCATTTCATTGATTTGTGTGTGGGCTGTGATACTGCCCGGGTGCCCAAACTGAAGCAGGTGATTTTCTTAGAGGGCCACACCTTGACCCTCTGACCTAAAGGTCTGATCCACAAGGCAGTGGAACATCGTGAGGAGATGCGATCCCATGGTAGCCGGTGACCAACAATTGGTTCATACGCTATTTGTTGCTTCAGGATACTGGAACCCATGTGCACCATTGGTTTGGAATGGGGGTTTTCCAACTCCCCTAGGTGGACTCTACGTGTCCATCGGCCTGGTTAAAGCGCCGGACATTCGCTTTTCGTCCTCTTAATTTCGTAAACAAGACCTGTGGTGCGAGAAGGCATTGAGTAGGACTTCCCTGTCAGAGGCTGTGCACGCGTAGTCATGTGAGCATTTCTAGAGGGAGAGCTGACTCCCCACTCTCGGCCGTACCAGGGCATTTGGGGACACGTAACCTCATTAACCAATTTACTATACTTATCTTATACCTTACGCTTAACTCTGCTATTCAACCATGTGCGAAGCAATGCTTCAAAAATATCTTTGATCTATTACTAACAACCTAGGCATTTCCTCTAGTTTTAAAGATATCATTTCAAAGTTGTGAAACAAATCAGAAAGAACTGTTTCTTTTTACAGTATACTCACCCATTTTATAATCAGACTAGTATAAATTATTTAGTTCTATTTACTCATTGATAAATTCAATTATTTCATTGTATTTCCATATAGTTCATAAATTATGTTTCTAACTGAATAAATTAATGTTTGCTTTTTTCAATGGTAATAAATACAATTATTAAATGTCAATAGTTATATATGTTATCACCTTTTCCTAACTGAATAGTTCGTTTTTTCAATAAAATAAATTCATCGATGTTTTTTTTCCGATGAATGTATTATTTATGCCGAAGTAAACTTCATTTATCACCTCATCAAATTATTCATGTTTATTTGTTGTTTTGTTTTGTTTTGTTTTACTGATTAAACATGTTCAAAAATTAAATTGTCAGGTGAAAATCAGTTTGATAAATTTTTTGTGCTCATTTTTTTTCAACGACTCAAATATCTGTATTCATATCAAAATTTATTGCTTTCATTAAAAGTAAGCAGGTAGAAGTGAAGTTTCTTACCTTTCATAAAGATCTACTCAACTATTTGTCTATATTATTAATTCCCCTAAAGTTAATGACGTATTTCAGTGTTATTCTTTGTAATATATTTTTTATCCAAAAGAAATTTCGTTCCATTTTGATCAAATCTCGGTACTTTTCACTTTAAACCCCCAACGCATTGTCCACTGAGCTCGATAGTACCTTGTTATGGTCTCAAGCGATATGAATTTTGCGTGTATTGGAGGTGACCGTCTAATTTTCATTAGGAATAGGTTGATGATCATCAATTAGCCTTTATTTCTATGAACGTACTTGTTTTCGTTCACTGGAAAAATCAGATTAATGCTAAAGATTTATTGTATTTGTATCAGCTTCACGTCTACCCAGGTTTGTTCTTGTTCAAAAATAAATGCGTCATTCTAATCACATTAATCATTTTTGTTTACACTTATTGTTGTACGACTAATTATGAGCTTTTAAGGATGATCTTTTTTATATATAACGCGTACACGTCTATTATTTATGTTTGTTTATCTACTTCAATATCAAATAGTTCGGATCGTTCATGTACATATTTAATAGTTTGTGATTCATTCACTATGTTTTCACCTTATTTATTGGTTTGGTATACTGTTTAGATTACTTAAAATATATTCTCATACGTTTCATATTGTAATTTCCATTTTAACACATTAGTAATCACCATAGCTATTATGTTCTAATTAGTTGGTTATATATGCGGAGTTATGTAGAATAATTGCTCCAGTATCTAACTAAAGTGATAATCACGCCAAATTAACTTTTGGAATCAGATTAGACGTACAAATTCCCCCATACTTTCTACCTTATTTAACATATTATAATGGAGCTTACTATGTACGTCTAATCCTCTGTGTTGTAGGTCTTATGATCAAAGTAGGATATACATGCAACGTAGTCCCATTAGACAGATACCCCGACAAAATGCAAGTCTTTTTTAAACACATTGAGCTAATATGTAAGCTATAGCTTAAAAAAACACTTGATATAATTAATCGTAAGGGTTAGTATGTTCGAGTTGTCAACATCCAAAAACTAAACTGATCTATCTTTTCGGCGTTTGTGCTCTTGGATCATATTCTTCACTGCTAGCTACATTTAAAAGTCGAACAACTTTTGGCGATCATGACCCATTACTCTAATAAATATTGCTCTAGTGTTTGAAGAAATAACTTCTGGATTATCGCTTCAGAGAAAACATCGGTACTGTGTTATACGTAAACCGATACAAGGCATAATAAGGATCCTGAATTCTACAGCTAGCCACCATCTGAAAACATAGTTAGAACCTTGGTGATGACATTCATTCAGTCGGCAAATAAAAAATTAGCCAACAACATCAGTAACTTTAAAATTAAATAATTCGTAATCATGTATTTACTTTTAAAGTTTTAATGTTTCTGAATATTGTAGTGTAAATTTATCTTCAAGCTCAAAAATTCCAAACTGGGGTTGTTTTTAGCAGATCACCCAGATTCCATAATTTCACTGTTATGTTCTTAAAAATTATACCAATTGGACTTAGGGACCCTCACCTGCAAATATGTTTTGCGTACGATAAACATTTGCTACTTTTTTTTATTTTAATCGCCTAATTATGAGGATATTTTTTTAAAACTATGCGGTTATAAACGAACAGACTCTACGTAAGCATACTCAACTCTTCATTTTATCATTGTTTTCTGAATAATATTAATAAACAGTGAAAATAATCTTCACATTATATATGTTCCCATCTACAGATTACCCATCGATCCACCAAAATTAGTACGTAACCAAATTCTATTCAACGATTCAGTGGTTGTATCAGTTTGTGATCCTATGTTGGATGAATTCGATGATGAAACTCGTGAAAGATCAACAGCTCTACGTCGTACAGCTAACCTGCAATCAAAGGAATTCGTATGTCATGTAACCTATAATTTACAGGTAAATTTTTTAGTCATTTAACTTTATTAATATGTTCACTAAAATATTAAACTCCATTGTCCAAACATGGCAGGAAAGTGTACGTAAGCTATTGTGGTAACGTGTTTCTAGCCTATTTTTCAATAGATAGTGAAGATACCTTTTTTTGTAACAACCAATATTGATTTGTATATGTTTGTTCAGTTTGATGATTGCTACCTCAATCATCGATTGACATCAGAACCATTGAAAAATAGATAGTAATAAGCAAGTGTCTTGTAGCACTTAAAAACTTTTTAATATGAAACAAATGAATTATCGAAAATCACACCCTTTACCTACCAATTAATTAAACCCTCATCTGTGACAAATGATTAAGTATTACATTATTTACTGTCTATTTATTAAAGTGATGATTCCTTATTGGTGAGTCCAATCTTTGTAATTTCACCAAATTTGTCAGTGTTCTTGATATCGACTTGGTGATGTGAAAATAATTACTTACGAGAACTTGGAGAAGAAATCCATGGGCTATAATAATAATAATTATTATTATCATTATCTGGTCACAGGCCCCTTCGAGGTATTATCGCCGTATGTTGAGACTACCAAGTTAAGCTATGTTTAAGTTAGACTCAGGGTACTATCCAAAAAACTGCGAATTTTCATCAAATGTAGTGGTTGAGGTATGTTTTATGTATCCCAGATCTCCACGTACCTTGACGCACAATGTCGGCTGGTGTCGGAGTAGGTTGGAAGAAAGCTAACGAGAACCAAACCAAGACATGTCATTATTAGTCCATTATGTCATTAACTGTTGCACTGAGCCGTGTTAGTAGCTAGTTAGGCTCTGTACAATTATCGTAACAACGGTTGAACACGTTAGATCCAATGGATCAAAATCAGATACAATTGTGTAGATGGTTTCACTTTTTGTCTTTCATTAGGAATTTTATTTTTAAAATTATTTTATATCTCGTATTCAACGAATTCATTCTTTCTTTTCCAAATATATTCTCTTTACTTGCTTATATATATGCCACTTCTACTTATTTTGATAATTTGTTCTCATTGTACTGAAATAATGGAACAAATTAGACTGATGTATATATGTGTGTCAAATTCTATGTTTCTTACAAATGACTGAAGTTAAGTAAAATCATTATATACAAAATTTCAGTTATATTATTATCTTAATTCATTCATACATACCTTTTCATAATGGGTGAAACATTGAACTCAATCACAATCGATTGATCACTGGGTGATGATCAATGTCATGTGTGTCAAGTCCTTCTTCGTGCAGATCGAATGCTATCGACACGGGGTCGAATCCATCAGGGAGCACCAGTTCCCTCAAGATTACAGGTACACCTTGCTGACGAGTGCCAAATAGCACGAAATCCAGATCCAGGGTTTTCTGTTGACTACTACCTCCAACCATCATCTTGAACTTAATCTTTTCCTACTGTATAGATTTATTTTCAAAAGAAAAATAGAAATTTTACTGTTCAATTTTTGACTAAACAAATTTTGTTTTCTTTTTAGAATGAAAGTTTAGGAGAGCAACTTATCAAAATGTTTAAAAAACAAATTGTTAATGTTTAAGAAGATCTTTAAGAATATTGTACAAAGTACTTCATTATTATTGAATAATGATTCTAATGAATTACATCTTTATCCAATTAAAAATATATAAACTTTAAAAGGAAACTATGTTAATTGTTTTATAAAATTTCAAATATACATAAAATTTAGTCAATATTAAATTAAATCTTTTAAGAATATTGTGATGTATGCTACTTACACTGACAGATATAAGTAATAGATAGCACTAATCGGAAGTAGAATTGTACTGAACAGAACACGGGTGGGGACAACTAGATGTATTTGGCACACAATTACAGAGTTACTTAGTAAAATAGAAAAACCATATAGCAAATCATTAATTTGCAAAATATCAATCCATCATATCAACCTGAACTGTTCCTGTTGCAAACATCAATCCATTGTCTCAGATTTCATTGTTCATGCGTTTTTTTACAAATTGCATTGTGTTTCCGCTCTTCCTTTCTTGATCTTCCCCCATCTTCTGCTGCCCGACATTACGTTTTTGACTCGCGTCATATATTACTTATATCAATATAAGTAGCACACACTACTGAATACCTGACAATGAAAGATTGAAATGAAAAGAACAGAGAGAAAAAATTGTAACAATAACAGAATTTGAAAGAATCATGAAGCATATGTAAAAGACAATTGAAGAAAGATGCGCAAATAATGTATGATTTTCATATTTTACCAAGGCATTCTGTAAGTTTTCGTTCCATTTATATACAATCTATACAAATTCTTATCAGCTATTTATTTAATAATAATGAGAATGTTCTATTAACTTTTCCAGAAGTCATACACTCTTTTGAAATGATAGAAATCTATCTCTTTTAATAATAAAAAAAGAAAGCTAAATGGGTATTCTAGTGCTTATAATCCATATGATTTCATCGACAATGTCTATGAATACTTTTATCAATAGTGAAAATTTCATTTGGATAATAATAATAATCTTTAAATAACTCATCGTTTAAGTATAAGTGAATACAAATATCTATGAATTTTACATTATTACACTTCGAAAATATTTCAGATTTCTTTCTGGAGACTGAAAAGGATACTGTTTTCTTACTTGGTTCATTATTTACCTTTTCACAAGGACTAACTTTCTTTTAAAGAGAGCAAGAACAAAGGTTTGTGCAGAACAATATGAATTCATTTTATTTCGTTAGGTTCTCATCAGCTGCTTACAACCTAAAATATTTGAAATTGACATACTTATACAACAGAGGGTGATGAAGGATGAATATATGTAACATGATGTAGCAAAGATTTCGTTCGAGTTAATGAGGTCATAAAAATTTTTGTTTCGAATATATAGAGTTTGGGAGGGAAGGTCCCAGAACATTGAAATAGTGATTAGAAATCATGGAATTAAAACACATGAGATTATTATGCAATGAAATAACTGAAAATAGATTAATGGTAATAAAGAGAGATATGAATTGAAATTGGTCAGTTATGAATCATGTGATTTTAGAATTCAGAAAGAGTTGGAATGACATAATAAAAATAAATAAAATAAAAGGGGGTGGGGTTAATGTTACCAGGGCAAAGAAAGATTTATTACTGTTTCTTTTTGTATACAAAGATCTGGTTTTAAACGTTTGATTGCTATTGCTTCCGCGAATTTCAAAAGGTTTGAATTTGATTGTTTGTTGATCACCTTGAAGGACTTCAATATATTGACTTCGTGTCCTGTGTCAAGGAGATGTCTTGCGATAGCGCTGCTGAATGCTTTTAGTCCGTTTGATCTCAAACCCTTCAATGTTCTGGAACCTTCCCTCTCAAACTATATATTCGAAACAAAAAATTTTGTGACCTCGTTAACTCTAACGAAATCTTTGCTACATCATGTTACATGTATTCATCCTTCATCACCCTCTGTTGTATAAGTATGTCAATATCTATAATAACGTTTAATTTCAAATATTTTAGGTTGTAAGCAGCTGATGAGAACCTAACGAAATAAAATGAATTCATATTGTTCTGCACAAACCTTTGTTCTTGCTCTCTTTAAAATAATAAAGGGAACTATGTGTATGAAATAACTTTCTTTTGTTGTTAATAACATTCTATTTTGATTATTCAGGTTGAAATAATTCAGTTGATTCATTTTGTATTCTTAACTGATATCAAATTGTTTAAGGTGATCAACAAGAACCTAAATTTCATGATAGATTGGCGCATGTGTCCAAAAGGTTTATCTAAAATCTTTTAAGTATTGATAATCCTTGTAGGATTCAAAAAGGAACTACTTGTTTGATGAATTTTGTGTTGTATAAATGAGATGCTTACACTACTTCTTCATATAGGATTTTCTGTTGACTACTTAACATCAAACAAAGTGCAGTGCAATACAATACCGAATCACTTCGACTGATGACCATATTATAACTTGATTTATAGAAATCGATTACCATTAAGAACCCCAGAACATGAAATCAGTTAATATTAATATCACTTCATATTCCTAGCTCCATAAAAACAAAAGATTTGATAAACGCACACTGAATCGGTCATATTCGTGAGGTTGTCCTTCAAAGTTAACGATAAGAAGCCTTTTTTGATAAGTTTTAAAATTCTTCTCTTCAAAATATAAGGCTTATCACCTTTGAATTTTATGCAGTGTATACTTTTGACATAGATTAATTATTTAATTGGATGTTTGAGTTTTATATTTGATATCGACACATTTTTGGGATACCTATTTTCGATATGTAGTTTTCTCAACAAAAAAAGTTAATATTGGTACCGGAATTTCTTTGGATTTATGTGACGAGTGATATAAACTTCTATTCCTATATGAACGCAATTATGAAAGCTAGTCATACATTAGAGCGTTCCTGTAAACTAGTTTTCCTTTTGATGTCATCGGATTTCCTTGTTATTGTAAAATTCAAACAATACAATTTTTTATCATAATATAACTCAACTCACTCTTATTATCATAAACAATAAAAGAATCGTCTAAATACGTGTTATACAAATGAAAATCTTTGATAAGATACCTTTTAACTAACAATAAAACAATCTGCAAATATAGACTTGGATAGGAATTGTTATATTATAAAGGAGTATACCATAGCTATTTCATCCTTCTGTCTGTAAATAATATCACTGATTATCAATCGAGTGCATCTCAATAGTAAGCCCTTTAAATAGACTACTTATATTACCATTCTTATCATTTATGTATTTGCGAATAGAATTGATGGTCTCGATAAGTAGTGAGGTCATATGAAGCTGCAAATTTATTATATACATTCTCTCCATGTTTAGTACTAACGAATTGGAAGGTGTCATGCAGCGAATACATGAATATATGCCTTATTGCGAACTGTAGAGAATCAGCTATTTCCCCATAGAGTGGTAATGAGATCCAGACATGTATATAAGTGGGCCAAGAAATAGCTCACAGTTTTGCACTTTGGATAAACCATGCAAAGATGATGAAGTTACACTGCCTTTGACAGACTACCAGTTACTTTGCAAATGACTGTCAGTCTAGTTTGGTAGAATGATTCGCGTTCTGTTACTGGGCTTCTTGTAGGTCCACTGCTGTTATGATATTGTGGTACTGACTAGTGCATTTCGTTCGCCAATCAGATGATCTTTTTATTCTCTTGAAAACCTCAGTAAGTTGTTTTTCGACCAATTTATCATTGTTTATCTCGTCGACAACTTGAGAAAGCTTCTTAGTAGGACTCATTTTTCGGTTCATCAAAAATATTCCTTTAGAGCTTGTTATTAATAGTCTTCAAGCACTTCTAAACAGTTTGGGTTGTGTTTCTATGTTCTCATATTATCAGATATCGAACCATTGGGGTTGTTTCATGATATCGATTGTATCAATCAAAGAAAATGTTTTTCAGGATAGAAACTAAAGTTAGCTTTTTACTCTGATTACCTGAATTTTTGAAATTGTAAATTTGATGACATGGTTGGTTGTATGGTTCGCAAGGTAGAATTTCGTGCCCTCAGATGTAAAGCCTGTAAGAATACTAATGAAATTTTGGATATACATTTTTCAGGATTGTTTGGAAATCTACGGTGGCGCTTTATGTATTTGGGTCTTTCACAAAGATTCGAATGAATGTATTTATTAAGTTTTCCAGTACTTTTGTTAACACAATCATTAGATAATTAATATTTATTCAGTGATTATTCATACAATACAAGAAGTCGTGTTATGTTTTCAAGTGATTGAACGAGTGGAAACAATACTGTTCCTTGTATGATACTCAAGTAAATATGAGTTCTACTTAATAATTTATTAGATATCCATAATTCCTTAATTCACCAATTGAGATAAATGTCTCAGTTATTCCAACAGAAAAATGTTAAAACCTGTTAGGTTCGTTTTTTGTACTTACATCTGTTAAGTAGACAACAAAAACATCCATTAACAGAAAGATAATTCAGTAAGCAGGGTTTTTTTTCTGACAGATCATCCGTTATAGTTTTCTTTCTTATGTATTCGTCATTTATCTTAATACCTTACCTATCATTATTATTACATAATAGTATTATGATCCTTACTATTACGTGATAAAGATAATTACAAAGTAATATTTGGTTATCCTTGGTCAAAACCTATTTATATAAACCTATCTAAAAACAACATTTAATCTTTAATAAATTGTAAATATCATGAAATCTTACGATGATCAGTAGTTTCAATTAAATTAACATCATTACTGTCATAATAATTATGTAAACTGGATTTTTTCTTCTATTCTGTCTATTATTCCGAAAAACAAAACGTGACTTGGACATATTGTACAAAAATAGAATAATTCGACTAGTTTTTTTTAAAATTACTGTTCATGTATTTGACCTCAACTTGTTCGATAATACTATTGTTCAATATATGTTGCATAAGTTTCAATGAGAAAGAATACATATGCATGCACCAAAAAATATATATATCAGAAACCATTGGAAGGAATCTAAAATCCTTTAGGGTCACTGTCACTCAAGAATTAATACAGTCATTTCATTCTAAGCAAAATGTAAGATATATCAAAAGAGAAGACAAATCCGATATTATTTATAGAATGAATTGCACCAATTACGAAAATTATTATATTGGATAAAATGAACATCCGACCTACTCATTCATCAACATAGATTAGAAGTGAAGTGAAATTATATGCTATCATTGATATCATTGCACTCGAATCATCATGGATGTGAATTCGATTGGGGAAGCATCGAAATTATGGATTCAATAAGCTGTATAAGTACCAGAGAACCGTTAGAATTATGGTATTTCGGTCAATTAGCAATCAGTATACACACTGACATAGATCCAATCTACAACCTATACAGAAAAGGTCAGTTGATAATAGTCAGAAAGCATCCGAAAAAGATACTGAACATGAATCTGTGGATAAATGATGACGATCAAATCTACCAAGGCTACCACTCACAAAAAGCCATCAGACAAAAAATGATGTAACATTTGTGGAATAATTGTAAAGCTCATTTCTATATAAAGTTAATGACAATATTGTCCAGACCTACAATGAAGAATCAGCGATTTATTCATTTAGCTCAGAGCACACAAAACTGTTCACCTGAGCTGCAAATCATCTTCACTATTCCATGTGCATATATATATATATATATATATAAGGATTTGGGATCAGTTCTTCATAGTGCTCATCAGTAAGGTTTTTTTTAAAATCAATGAAACGTGCAATCTATCCGAAATAATTACTTGAATCGTTCAAAATAGTTGCTAGATACATGATCCTCCACTAAAATTACTCCTTTATAATTTTGACATACAAGTTCTGAATATGATAAGCGTTGTCAGATTTGCTATAATACTGAAGATATAAAGATATATATATACCAAGAGACCTGATTTGAATAAATCTACAGAATTGAGAGTAATATTTATTTTATTTAGTACATAAATTAAACAAGGAACAAATTTCCTTTTTTTTACTGACTCCTCAAAATGGTCTTTCATTATTAATAAATAAGCTTTACATTCAAATATATGAAATTACTACTGATCAAATTGCTAAAAATCAATCAACCATATCATAAACATACAATTTATGAGGGGACTGGAAGTATACGTGATATCAGTCTCTCAATGATTATTAACAATACAATAGTATTAGACATATGCATTACTTATTCGGTCATTTTTGATAATCAATATTGAAAGAAATCAAAGTGATAACTCATGTTCAAATATGATAAGAAATACAGTTAAAAACTATCACTATTCAATTAGTTACTTATCATAGTTCCATATCAATATATATTTATGATGTACACTAATAATTAAATGTGTTAATAAGGTAACCAATCGATTGAATCATGTAAAAGAAAGAAAACCTTTCAGTGAAGAGATTTTCATTTCACAACGATGTTATTCTTTTTAGTTATAAGAATTTCATGAATAAGTAATTTTACATGAGACTATCTATGGTAATATAAAATAGTGTTACTTTATTAAACAAATTTATCATGTATGATCAAATGTTATTTTTCATCTATTTAGTACAAAATTGTTTGATATTGTATAGTTTAATCAAAAGAATTCAAGTATTGAATATAACAGTCTATGAATAGTAGGATATTATTTCATTTAGTTGATCTAATAGTTATAAAGTTAATAAGAAATAACAATTTATAAAACATAACTAACTGTCTGTATTTACGAAGAAGAATGAGAAAAATTACATTATTTATTAACACTTACAATTTGTAAGAAACTAAAACTGTTAAGACTATAGAAAAATAATGGGTTGAATGTGTCTATTTTGTATATAGAGGTTAGATTTAAACTAGTGAAATGTTATAGCTTCAGTTATGTATAAGTTTCTGATACGAACCTTCTTAGAATCAGTTCATTTGACCTTGTAGGTAACATTGAGAGATAGTTTTTTCTGTGGCACATGATGACTGAAGTTGACCGAATATATGAGGATTGAACTGTTAATTGATTTTCATTCGTCTTTAGATAGTCATGTATAATAATATTAAGATATTTATTTAACAAGTTCACGGCTCTTAACCACAATATGACTTACTTCACAATAGTAATAAAATTAATAAATGTACACGGAGATGACTCAAAGAGGCAGTTTATCTTCGACAATTCTCTAAATGAGATTCCGAATGGAGAAAACAATTCTTAGCTCAGCTATATAAGTTGTATTTCGCAAAGGTTTGAACAGTCTATCCTTCAATAATTCTGATTCCTTATTCTCTTTTAATTTAGTGTCCATGTATAAAACTTATTTCGTAACTGTATAAACGATACTCTCAACAATTTCTTAGTTGATAATAGTTTACAAAGAAAATTAATTTACAACTCCAACTTATTTAGAGAATTTCACAACGTACAACTTTTTCAACGAGCTTTATGTTCGAATCTTCATTTCATTATTACTTTTTCTCAGTACTATACTTAAACTTAATATTAATTTCATACTTATCAAATCTTGTACGAAAATATTGATTGATAGTTTTTTTCTCTCTCTTGGCAACTAAAGTTTATTTTACAGATCCATTTAACAGACACTGTATACGCCCTTTATACTTCATCTATGAGCGAAGTGAATAATTAACTGGCATTCTATGATAACATTCTTTAATACAATGAAGCATTATATATAACATAATTAATCTTCAGTTTAAGTATAAATTACCAAGAGTTTTGAATTTAAATAAAATAACTAGAAAAACAACATTCTTTTAATTTACAACATCAATGATAATAAACAATAACCGCTGACATATACTTTTTTTCTTTATTAGAAAACTACGCTACGCGTACTCATCAAATTAATTGTGATCATGTTGTAATGTGAAGAAGAAAAAAAGAGAAGATGAATTCAATCCATAGAATAAAAAATAAAAAACTAATACCATTTCAACTAGTCATCATTAATAGAATGTCTTGCATTGGTTCTAATTGACAATAACACAACATTAGAATAATGAGATGAAATTAACAAAACAAATAAGAAATGAATTGAAATAATGTTTTAACAATTAGAATATGAAAAATTGGTGAAGGATAAAACAAGCAATGCATTTATTTCACTGTGAATCATTTTTAACCATATCATTAGATGTCTCCAATCATTAATGGTGATTATCTTTCTGACTCTAATCAAGTTGTCTACATTTAAGTATATATCTCAGACAAATAGTCAATCACTTCATGAACTGATGTCATCACTTTCATGCAACCTACTCTTACACTGGTTAACACGGAATGATAATGTTGGAAATATTTAAGCATTTCTAATAAATATCCCAATCATCTTAATCAATGAATATTGACCATCTCACTAACTAATCTACAATCTTAACCTAGTACCTCATATTATACCTCAAAACTGTCCACTTAGCGGCTGACAGTGAAATCCAGGCTGCGCATTTTGTCTTATTTGAAACTTGACAGCTGAATGTATCTTCATTCCAGAGTTGATGTCCACTCCAGGATTCGAACCCAGTACCGTTTGTTTCAAACGCCAATCGCGTTATTCATTTAGCTATTGATTCCTAATAACCACTTGCTTGTACAATGGGGTGAAGTTTAAATTCACTTGGTGTTACAAGATACAAGTAAAACAACACCAAGTGAATATTCACATTTATTTGTTTCATAAAACGTGAGTTTTTCTTCAAATACACATATGAACATATATCTCCTACTATTAAATTCATGTTTCACAACTTAAAGAAAAGATATAAAATCATTAATTATACCCTAATTTTGATAAATTGATATTTCATATCAAAGAAATTTTTAATAAATTAAAAAATATGATAATAATAATAATATTTCAGTAGTTTACATAAATATTAATTTTGTAAGTTGAAAAGTTCAAAGTTCAATCATCACAGTCAGCATGATACATTGAAAGCCTTGAATCACTACTGATTTTTTATCATGTGCATTCATTTGAATCGATTGAATGTTTTCATGTTTTAATTGGTGATTGTTTTTGTTTGTTCTTTTTTTGCTAATTTATCTACCATCAAAAATATATAAGTAGTCAAGTATTAAATTTTTTTGAAATGTATTTAAAACGATACTCTAAAATAGCTGATAAAAATCCATTAAGGTTTTAGTTACATTATCTAGTAACCTAAATTACTCTAGTCTTACAATTACTTTGTTTGTTTGTTTTTTAATGAATAATCAACATAAGCTTAGTTGAATTATAATAATAAGTCAGTTGTCATGACTAATCTCCATTCGATCACATATCCATATATGAATACATTATAGTTTCCCGTTATAACATACTGGGAATAAATTCAAATGAAAAGTATTCTATTTACATGATTGCATAAAACAACGAAAATGAGAGGACGAAAAGCGAATGTCCGGCGCTTTAACCGGATTCCAAACCAATGGTGCACATGGGTCAATTGTTGGTCACCGGCTTCCATGGGACTGCATCTCCTTAGGATGCTCCACTGCCTTGTGGATCAGACCCTCAGGTCGAAGGCTCGGAGAGTGGCCACCTAAGAAAACAACCTGCTTCGGTCTGGGCACCCGGACAGTATCACAGCCCTCACACATATCGAGTGAGATTTGTGTAGCGCATATGTATTTGTTGCCTCCTTGCGCCAATATCTATGTGTTAAAATAAATAAATAACATTAAAGGAATGTATTAGTTCATTGTATTATAAAATTGACCGAGTGAAATTCAGTGAGAAGTTTCTATTAAACTCATTTTTGATACATTTTCTTCTGAAGAGACAACTGACTTCTGAGAAATTACAATTTTTGACTGAATACTAACTTTGTATATAGTCGATTATTCCATAAAAGTTTCTTAAATAACAGTTCTAACTAGATTGATTTATCACAGACCGGAACCAATAAGTTTTGTTCCTGGTGAAAAACACTAGAAACTACAAAACGTTATATATATAATGAGAATCGGTGATAATTTAGTGTGCTTATTACTGATTTTCCATGGACAGTAATACGCTCAGGATGCACGTATGCCAGTTTTCAAAATTTAAGCCGACTATGAAACAGAGAAAATAAACTGATTAAACTTTAGTGGATATTGACCATATTTCATTATTTTTCTGCCTCGATAAGTTTACTTAAGTTTCTAGTGGCTTTATTCTTGAGCTTCCGAAAAGTACCACAGGTCTTCATTCGTATCAATGTATGTTAACAGCCATCGTCATGAATTTAGCTAAGATTTTAACATTTCAGACTTAGTTTTAAGACACAACTTTTACTTGTTAGGTCTAATGATACTAACCAGTTACTGAAACGAATTTAATTAGAGCGTAGTTTACATCTATAACATACTGAATAAGGACTGAGTCCTATAAACACCGAAATATGCAAGTATTCCATTTCGAAATCTAACCACGAACTAATGGCTTCATAAGCAAAGATGGATGGTGGCTAGCAATGGAATCTAGGATAAGCGTTTTGTCTTATTTGGAACTTGTCAGCTGGATGTACCTGCATCCCAGAGTTGATGTCCACTCCTGGACTCCAATCCAGTACCGTTTGCTTCAAACATCAATGGAAAGATTCAAATAAACACGTTGATATATAACACAACAATTCAAGATATTTTCGTAAGAATTTGATAAATTCACCAACTACCCCCTCCGTTAGTTCACATAAATCTTAACGTTTAAACAGTTAAATCTATGTTAGAAGGGGTCTTTGTGAAAATTATAGTAATTTTAGTAGTTAAGATCATGAGTCAATTGAAGCTAAACGACCATGGAAAACCTGGAAGCACTGGAAAGTAGAAATTGTCTATAATACAAAATAATAATTAAACATAAAATATTCAACATAAAAATGTTAACATTTGAATAGTTTGTAGTTTATTTCATCTTTTCTTGATCGTCAAACAAATCCAAGCATTGAAAATTAATAAGTTTCAAGAATAAATCCAAGTCAGAATATACCTTAGCTCAAACTAATATTAATCAGAAGGGGTTTTGCGGAGATCTTAGAAATTTCAATAGTTAAAGTCATGAGTCAATTGAAGCTAGAATACCATGGTAAACCTGGAAGCACTGGACGGTCGTTTCTTCCTTGTGTGGGACTCCTCAGCAGTGCGCATCCACGATCCCGTCTCACGAGATGCTGACCCAGGACTTATCAGTTCAACCGGGTCTGTTGTGAAGTAGTAACTCACCGAAGACAATAGTGTACGGTTGAAGTTAGACATTAACACCGTTGGATGCCAGCTCAGTGGTCTAATGGCTAAGCGCTCGAGACTGATAGGTCCTGGGTTTGAATCTCGTAGGGGCGGGATTGTGGATGCGCACTGCTGAAGAATCTCATACCAGGACGAAATGGCCATCCATTACTTTCAGGTTTTCAATGATGGTCTAACATTGATCCGTTCATGATCTCAATTAAAATCCAACAATCTTCACAACCCTCTACTGACAGCTCTAACTATAAAAAAGGATATAAATTCGAAATCCTTGCATAAACCAAATTGTAAAAACATCTGTTAAAATAAGGTTCATCGGACTGATATTATTAAATAACAGAATCATTGACTATGATCATCGTATTTCATAAATACAAACTTCTGTAAATAAATTAAAAAAAGAAAGTTTATAAACTCTTTCATCAATTTCAATAGTTGAAATCATGATTCAATTGAAGCTAGACCACCATGGAAAACCTGGAATCAATGGACGGTCGTTTCGTCCTAGTATATGACTCCTCAGTAGTGCACATCCACGATCCCGCTCTCTCACGAAATTCAAACCCAGAACCTATCAGTCTTGCACTCGATTTTAATTCATTTATAAGTATTTAACAGAAAACCAAAAAATATTTACGTCAATTTAGTTGAAAAATAAAAACTCAAAAACATTTTACATGTTTAGTTTGCTTATTTATTTATTTTTTCCGGCAAAATTATTTTTGCATAGAAATTCATGTGAGTAATAAATAATGTGATTACATCATCAATTAGGAAATGAGACTTATCATTTAATCACATGATAAATTTAAAATAATAAAGAAGTTATGTAATGGAAATCACTATGAGTTCATGTATGACTTATTACCATTATTATTATTACTGTCATTACTATTACTATTATTATTGTCATTACCATTATTATTATTATTATTATTATTATTATTATTATTATTATTATTATTATTATTATTATTAATGTGTACAGATACTCAACTTAAAATCATTATCATCAAAGTAACACCAAAAAAAACAACCAGTTTTCATTTTATAATCCTATCTAAACTACTCAGAAACTATTTAATTTCAGAAATACTATAGAATAAATACATTTTTTCAAAACTTAATTATTAAAGATTAACCAACTAATCACATTATATTTGTTAGTATGAATTATATTAATCATATGACTGATTACAAATGTAAATTTAATCGTTATTCATTTATATACCATTAGAATTATTGTATTAGTTCAAACAATTACAATTTACATCAGCACAATAAAAGAAAATACCAGAATAAATTTCTTTTTAATAAAAAAAAAGAAAGAAATTCTAAATAATAATTTCTGTAATTAAAATAACTCATAGTGTCATTGAATAAGAAAAAGAGAATTCAGCGAAGAAAATTTACAGCTTAAGTAAATGATTTCGTCGAAAAGAAAATTTTCTTCGCTGAACAATTTATGTATTATTTATAATTTAAATACTTATATAATACTACTAAAATGTAACTGATCCCTAGCCAGACTATGCGTCAAGTGGAGTTGTTTTTATGTTAGACAGCAGATCACTAAATGTTAAATTTTACCAAGCCTCGTTAAGATCAAGGATCAGTCAGTCAGCTACAACGTAGGACCAGGTATATATATGCATTGGTCCAAGTTGCCATACCTCATTAACACAACAAGATGGACACCGGATTCATAAAAGTAGTTGATTCAGAGGTGGTAATATATAAACGAAAGATTGCAATAAGGATATAGTACAGGAAGAAAGAATTAGTTCATAGAAAGAAAGATATGAAGCGATTTTAATCTCCTGGTTTAAGGGAAGACAGAGAGTGTATACACCTACTCCATTGTGATCGATTTTGAGCTATGTCACCAAGAGTCTCCAACCATTGGTTACGATAGTCACGCGGACCCCAACCAAGTAGTC